TTTGATTTCTTTCATCAGAATTATACATAGTTTTCTGTAAATATAACCTGTACACATTTTATTCAATTTATACCTGTTTATTATCTTTGATGCTATTTAATTTCTTGAAATTTTAAATACCAATCATTTATTGCTGATATATGGGAAAGCGATTGCCTTCTGTATATTAACCTTGTATCCTGAAAACTTGCTGTAGTCATTTACCAGTTCCAAGGTTTTTTGTCATTTCTTTGGGATTTTCTACATAGACAATTATGCCAACTAAAGAAAGTTTTATTTATTCCTTCCCAAATTGTATGCTTCCAATGTGCATACCACTTATTTTCTTTTTTTGTCTTAAAAACTACCTAGGACCTCTAATATAATGTTAAATGTAGTAAGTGGCAAGAGGATAGACTTTCTGTATTATTGATGATTTTATTGAAAAAAAGTGCTCATTGTCTCACCATAAAATATGATGTTATTTGTGGGGTTTTTGCAGACGTTCTTCATCAAATAGAGGAAATTTTCATCTATTTCAAGTTTGCTGAAAGTTTTATCATACATGAGTATTGGATCTGTGAAATGCATTTTTAATCCATATATATTTTGAACAATAATTATTTTGTCTTATGTTTTAGCACTGTTATTATTTCAAAATTAAATTATATTGGTTTTGATGGTATCTCACATTTATTGACCTCTTATTATGTGCCAAACATTGTTCTATGCACTTAGCCCTACACTTAATGTTTCCAGTGGCTCTATGTCTTAGTTCATTTGTCTTTCTATAACAGAATACCACTGACTGGGTAATTTATAAAGAACAAAGATTTATTTCTTCCAGTTATGGAGGCTGGGAAGTATAAGACTGAAGGCTGAGCATCTGTCTAGGGTCTTCTTGCTGCATCATTCCATGGCTGAAGGACTAAGAGAGGGTGAAAGAGCGCAAGAGATTGAACTCGCAGCTTCAAGCCCTTTTGTAATTGGCACTAATCCATTCATAAGGGTAGAGCACTCATGACTTAAACAGCTCTCATTAGGTCCCAGTCCCAACATTGTTGTATTGGCAATTAAGTTCCCAACACTTTTTATTTGGGAGACACATTCAAACCGTAGCACTCTGTATTTTCCATTTTATTGATAATAAAATGTGGGAGTCACAGAAATTAAATAAGTTCTCCTTTTTTCCCTTTTCCATCTTTTCTATCCATATCCATTCCCAATTTTATTTCCTCATAGCCCATGGCTTAATATAGCTAATGACTCCCAAATTTGTATTGCCACCTCCAACCCATTCTATGAGATTCAGCCTCATATTTAACATGAGTAATCATACTCAACCTTTCTACTTGATATTCCAAAAGGCATCTTAAACTGAACAAATGCAAAAAAGAATTTCAGATGTCCTTCCTCTTTATCCACCAACTTTGCTCTTTCCCAGTCTTTTTATATCCACAGAAGATGCTACTATTGTTCAGTAATTTGTACAGAACAAATCAAAGTGGTCTCCTTGACTTTTCTCTTTTGCTCACATTTCACACCCAATCTATCTAACAATCTGACCACCTCTGCCTTTAGAATACATCCCAAATGTGACTATTTCTCATCATCTTGATAGCTCCTATTTTAGAACAAGCTGTTATCATCTTCTGCCTTGATACTGCAATAGAATATTACCTTTTCTCTCAGATTTCACATTTGCTCTCTGCAGTCTATTCTCCACACACCAACTACAGGGCTCTTCTTAAAGTATCAATTAGATCACATCATTTAAAAAACGCCTCATTTTACATCCCCTTAGAAATCAAATTTGTTATTTGATATGGCCTACAGCACCTTGCCTAATTATGCAGTGCTCACTCACACATAACAGACCTATTCCTGACTGAGGGTACCTGCACATCCTAGCTTCTTTTGTGAACTGCTTTTTTCCAAGATTTTTGTTATGTCATGTCCTTGCACTTTGTATAGGTCTGTGTTTAAATGTCATTTTTCAAGAAGTTCTTCCATGACTACATTACACACAAACACTGGTACTCTTAAATTGTATGTCTAAAATTTTCATAGCACTTTTCATTACTTGAAGAATAGCATATAACAGTCCTTTAGCTATATATGCCTTTCACGTAAGACTAATCACTGAGAAGGCAAGAGCACTGGCTGTCTTATTCACTATGTTATCTCTAGTGCCCTATAGTAGGGGTTCAGCAAATATTTGTTGAATAATTAAATTTGCTGCCTGTAGGTGGTAGAACTTGCATACAAAATCAGATCCTCCTGACCCCTCAACCAGAACTAATGTATTTCATCTATGTAAAGATGTTGATTGAAATTCTAGCAGTTTCAAGTAGTTATTATTATAAACAAAATCACCTATAAATAAATTAAAATTGTGCTGTATCATTTCCCCCTACCATCCTTGAATCCTATTTCTTAAAAGGTACATTTTCTCCCTGTGTCATAATCAATTCTCGCCCCCCCACCTCTCTCCCAATTGTACTTTTGCACTCATAACCTTAAGATTCTCCAAGATCTATTTTTTTCTCATTTTTCCTCTACTGATACTAATTGTCACTAAATGTCAGCCAATATTCTAAAAAGAAATATTGCCTTGTGTCTTAGTCTCTTTTGTGCTTTTATGACAAAATATCTGGGGCTAGGTAATTTATAATGAATAGAAATTTATTAACACACTGTTCTAGAAGCTGGGAAGTTCAAGATCTAGGATTATCATCTGGCAAGGACATTCTTACTGCATCATCCCATGGCAGAAGGTGAAAGAGCAAAAGAGGGTAACAGGGGGCCAAACTTGCCCTTTTATAATAACACCAATCTCACCCATGGGCTCCCACTCACAGCAGCTCTCTCAGGTTGGTGTCATGTGCTAGTAGCTTTACAGTTCTGGAGTCTCAGGAGCAGCCTTGCCTCCATGGCTCCACTAGGCATTGCCCTAGTGGGGACACTCTAAAGTGGCTTTGTCCCTATGACAAGTCTCTGCCTGGGACCGCAAACTGTTTGCAACATCCTTTGAAATCTAGGTGGATCAAGCCATGCCCCCACAGCTCTTGTATTCTGTATCCCAGCAGAATTAACATCACATGGATGTGACCAAGGTTTATAGCTTGTACCTTCCAGAGTACTGGGTTAACCTGCACTTGGGCCCACTTGAATTATGTCTGGGACAGCTAAGGAGTGCTGGGCCAAAATGCAAGGAGTAGAAACTTAAGGAGGCTCTGGGTAGCAAGCCCCAAGTTCTCAAGGGCACCCTAGGTCTCTCTTTTGACATGTTCCTTCCTCCAGGCCTTGACACTCTGGGCTTATAATGGGAGGGGCAGCACCAGCAGTCTTCAAAGTGCCCTCAGGGTCATTCTCCTATTGAGAATCATAGGAGATCAATAGACTCTGGCTTCATTCAATCTGTACTAATGTCCTTATCAAACAGCCTAGTGGCCACATCATTAGTTTCCTCTCCTGAAAATTCTCTTTCATTCTCTACCACAGGGCCAAGCTGATAATCCCTCAAATCCCTAAGTTTTGCTTCCCTTTCAATTATAAATTTCATCTTTAAATCATTTCTTTTTT